AAAAATGAAAAGAAATAATTATGATTTTATAGATAATAATCAATATATAAATAAAAAAAAAAAAAGAATTTCTTTAATTCATTATTATAACAAAAAAAAATCCTAATCATATAAAAAGCTGAAAGTAACCGGATAAAGATAAAATAATTAACAAAAAAAAGTCTTTTCTCTATCCAGCAAATTTAAATTAAATCAGAAAGAAAGTCTTTACGAGTATCAATAGTTATAGTTGGATGAGGTATGATAATAAAGGTGAAATAATTTAAATTAAAATATTAATCAAGTCTTCAGCTAATAATGATAACAAGTATATATAGAACAATCATAAGCCGAAAAACAAAACAACTATTAGCTGCAATACACATTATAATAAGACTAAGCCTGTGCTCAGTCACACCCAATTACTCGCAAGCTGCCGAAAGCTCTACTTTTATTTGAGTTAGAACAAACTAGTACTACTACTCCAATTCGTCTCTTTGCACTGTAACCTCTATTATATAATGCTCTGCGGCTTCTCAAGTAAGGGTAAGAGGAAGTATTTCTTTCGAAATACAACTTTTTAGCTTTTTTGCATATCAAGTTATTTCAAAAGTTAATTTTGCTAAAAGCTAATAAAATTATAACTTATCTCTATTATATTATTGTATTAATAATAACCAATTGGTATTGAAAAAACATCTTATGCATATCCTCGTTAGGCAAATATTTACACTTATACTTGCTAGTCAAATAAAGCAGACAGCAAGATTGACCAGATGATTATCCAGAAAGTCGATAGTAGATGCTATTTTTCTTATTGGAAATACAATTATATATATAGTCAGCATAAATCCAGCTATTCTCCTGAACATATTGTTCCTATTGTAGTACTATCTTTTTTGATAATCTTTTACTTAGAGATTTCTATTTATCGATATTAATGAAATTAATGCTTTTGTAATAGAATATATCGAATTTACAATCAGATTGACTTTGACACAAGATCTCCAAAATATCTTTCTTAACTATTTTATTATTATTTTCGAAATTACAAAAATAACATATTATTATAATCAATTTGTTAGTGAACTTCTTTTTGTAATTATTAATACAATCAATCAAAAAATTATATTCTTCCTTCAAATTTTGTTTTGGAAAATAATAGAATGGATATATCCAATGAGTATATCAAAGATCAACCCTATCTTTAGATATATTGCCTTTAATATTTATAATTACATTTGTTAGATAAACTAACTGCAAGCCAGAGATACCAAAAGAAAATCTTACTTATATATATCTTTGTTATTCAATCTATCTTCTTTATTATTTTTTTTCTTACTAATAAGATTATTGCCATTCTCATTATAACTCGACTCTTTCTCTTCCTCAACAGAACACTTGCCTCATACAACAGAAAAGGCAGATACCCTTTTCACTACAAGCTATAAAAAAATATATCAATAAAGCAAATACAAAAAAAAAAAAAATAAACAACTTATTACTATATATATATCCTCCCACTGCTTTAGCTATACTAATAATAACTTGCTTTTGCTGCTACATTTTCTTGATAATATAAAAGGTATATTGATTATTAATCGAAAAATATAAAAAAAATAAATAATCGGAAAAGATTTGGAAAAGAAAGAGAAATTCGAGTGATCTATATATTTCAAAGGCTTTGTATTATTACTAAGCTACAGGACAGTTTCCTCTATTTCCCATACACCTTCCTATCACGAAAAAAAGCAAAATTTGTATATATATCTATTTATTATGTTATATTATAATATAAACAACAACGCCTCATTAGAATTGTTAATGTATCTACAGATTAGATAATTATAAAGCTTAAAGGTAAACTTTTTCGAAAGGAAGGATAATATTACAGATTGCATTTAATTACAATTATAATCACTTATATACACATTTACATATATATACAATCATATATATATAGCTAATATATAAAAACACTCTACAAACACTTTACTCCCGATTCTGTAATTATAGATTCTAAGAATAAATTGTACTCTGCTCTCGCAGTTCTTCTAAGGCAAAGTGTCACATTAATGTGACGATTGCATCATTTAGAATACTAAGGTGAAGAGCTAGAAGAGCTCTTCGGAAGGAAGTGGTAATATACAGGATTGTGGATCACGTGAGGATCTAGCCGATCCATTAATATAACAGGATCGTTATACTACCCCCTCCTTCTGAAAAGCTTGCCCTCGAGTATACTAATAGTATTCTAAATACGATTCTCTAATCCAATTATATTATGATTTATATTCTTTATTATCATTAATATCTGATCTATAATTCCAATATTAATTCCAATGTTGCTTATAATATAATTCGTAGTGTTGTTGATCACTTTATGGAAATATGCGTTTTGTAGTTTTATTGCTTTTGTGAGAAAAGCTTCGAAATCAATAAAAAAAGGTTTCGAAAATTGTTGAAAATAAAATAAGCAAAAAAGAGAAGATCCGCTTGAAATGTATCTCTTGTTGGTAGTACTGATAGAGCGGTGGAAGTGTTGGTGGAACGCGGATTGGCCTAGCAGATCAACTGAATAAGCTGTTTCGTTGCGGCATCGATCGTGCGAGTATATTAATGCTTCGAATCGATCAGTTCCTATAGTTTGTATATTAGGTTCAGGATCTTCGGATCCATTATTGATAGAGCAAGGAGACTCTAAATGATATGATAATAAGATATCAGCTTGTCGGTGGGTGAGATTCGCGGAAGCGGAGTTAGGGAGAGGTTTTGATCGGAGGTTATACGAATAATCGTATTGGGGGAGCGAGTGTGGAAGACAGTAGGTATTTAGCAAGCAGGCTAGCAATAGGAAGCTTTGTAGAAGTGATCAAGAGCTTAAAAAATTTATATGATCTTAGTATAATGTGACAATTACATTATTTAGAATATTAAGGTGAAGAGCTAGAAGAGCTCTTCGAAAGAAAGTGGTAATATACAGGATTGTGGATCACGTGAGGACCTAGCCGATCCACTAATATGACAGGATCGTCACATTTAGTATATTAACGAGTTGGTAATACAAGAGAATCATTATTTGCTAAAGTTTTATTAAAGATCTGATTTGCTTACCTTAACTTTATTCTATCTAAAGAAGAGTTTCTAAGTATAAATAAATTTAAATTTTGATTAAAGGTTTTTATTTATAGAATGAAAGGTTACTAGAAAGAGTTAAATAATAATGAATCAAGTATTTTTTGTAGAGCAAAAAGTACTAAATTAGTTCCTTTCCAGCCAGCTTTAATATTAAAAGAATTCAATGCTTTTTTCTAATATTTTGAAAGAGTTTTATTTATTCAGTTCTTTAGATTTACTTTATATCAATTCGAGAATATTGATTGATCTTTAAAGCATAATATTGTTTTATTGGTCTATATATTGTAATATCAAATGACTAAAGTAAATGAAAGTAATGAGGAGATAATATAAATAAATCGATATTATTCTTTATATAGAAAGCAATAAAGCTACCTGTAATATAACTTGAATAACTATCCATAATTAAAAGTCGAGATCGGTTATCTAACACTTTCTTGAATTCTGATTCGAAAACCCTTTTTAGCTATTCTAATCTATAACTATTTGAAATCCATTTATTTATATTAATAGAGAACTATTAGCTTTGAAGTATATCCTTTGGAATCTATATAGAATTTGTATTCTGAGTTTTGAAAATGATTATAGATAATAAAGCCTTTTCAGCTGTATTGATATATTCAAATATAGTTATTCATTCTTACTTGCCAACTGTAACTTTCCAATTCGATTTCTGAATAGAATCGATTATAATATGTATACTTTGAGTAATTCCAACTCCAAATCCGGTTTCGTCTATATTATATATATCATCTAATTTATATTTTCGCTTAATAAAACGTATACGAAATATATCAAACCAAGCCTGAATATTTTCCGGAATTGTTTCTTTAACCCAATTAAACTCTAATTGACATGAATAGCATATTTTAAGTTCTGGATATCGTTTTTAGAATCTATAAATCCATTCATAGCCTATAGATGGAATTTCTATCGAGATAGAAATTCGAGATAACGCGACCGGAATATACCAAAAACGAATTTCGTTGGCTATTTTCTTTATCAATATAGATATAACAAGGAATCCAATAATAATAAATTATAAAATTCATTATACAAAAGTATTTTCTTTTGTGTTTGAAAGAATTTGAGTCATTTCGTAGGATTGAGTATGTGATTTCCTTTCAGCAACTTTAGCTATAAGAATTGACTTAAAAACTTCAAAATACTCTATAGCTTTTTTAATTGATTTAAATTCCTTTAATTGAAGTACAATAATAGTATTCTGTATTTTTTCTTCAATTTGAGAAAGCATAAAAGGTGATTTGGTATGTATAGCAAAATTTGTTGGGGTTTGAAGTCAGTGATGGGCTAAATGTGATCCGGTTCCTCATATGACCCGGTTCACCATAAGTTACGTTATTAAAATATTAGATAAAAAAAGTAAATTGTATTAAAGAATCAAAAATTGAATTTCAGATTCAAAAACGCTTCGAGGTGAAAAATCCGTATGAAGTGCCATAGATAGTCCTGATCTCATGCTCTTTAACACTTCGATTGACTGATAGAAACAGAATTCGGAGTTGATAAAGATTCATGCATCAACATTATTAATCAAGTTCAATCTCAGCCCTAAAGCGGTAGTTTATTTGAAGCTTACCCTGCGCGGTACTAAAGCTCCGGTCCACGTGGTCATCCAATTTTGGCTTTCAGGGTCAAGAATTTGGACAGAGTAGTGCAGAAGTATACTAATTTCATTACAGATTCTTTTTAAGACTCAACAAAGAGATACAATACAAAACATAAACCGGAGCCCAACCCATATCATCCTCCAGAACCTTCCCATTGAATGCATGACTCGTACTCCCACTTCAAACCATCAAGAAAATCAGAAAAAGAAAAGTCCCCGAACAATGCACCTAAGAATTTGACATGAAAAACATCTAGATTGCAGCCTTGGCGAGGTTGTTGGCGAAGTTGTGGTCATTGAAAGGACAGTTGGCCTTTCCGAAGCTGGTATTCTGTAAAGCTGTCTTGCTAACAGCTGGCAAGAAGTCGTACCACATCATTGGCAAATCTCTGCCCAATGTGTTGGTGAACTGCAACTCGTGGTTGGTTGGGAAAGAGACATAGTATTCAACCTTCAGTCTATCACCCTGGCGTTGGGGATTGGTCGTCTTCTTCACACTTCCGTGACCAGATGCGGCGGCACCGATCAAGGTGGGGTTGGCGACGGAAGGGTTGTTGACCCAGACGACGATGTGCTCCCAGTCGTGACGATGGCCTCCAACGACGTTTCCAGCCGCTGGTTGATCCTTGGGGAAATCTGAAAAGGGTTAGAAGGTGAGAAATGAGTGGGGGAGAATGGAGGGGATACTTACACCAGGCGTACATAATACCATAGCGACCTCCAGATCAGCCACCTCGGACATAGGTTTGACCCTTGCTCTGATCACGGCAGCCGGCTGAGACATTGCCAGTATCTTGGAGTCCACCACTACAGAATGTATTAGTATAGCGATATCAGAAGGGAAAGGGAAAAGTAGTTTTCATACCTGGTATTTCCATTACCATCAACTGCACTGTATGGTTGACAACCATGAGCAATGTGAAGGAATGGCTCGAATCTCTTCAAAGTGTTACCCAAGGCGTTACCAGGTACGTTTTCTCCCCATGGGTTGATAGAGTCATGATTAACGACGGCACGAGCTTGGATGGTGTTCTCCTCAATGGGAGCACCCTTGACTGCTGCTGCGGCAGCGAGGATAGAAAGGAATTTTGCGTTGGAGAAATACATCTTGAATTAGATTGCTGATCTTAACGATTGTGGTGATTTGGAATGAATGAATGGATGAATGAATGAATGTGGAAGCTGATGCTGATGCTGATGCTGATGCTGATGATGCTGATGATGAATTGAAAGAGAGAACATCGTCGATACTTATATACTATTTTGCTATCATCACTCGATGCATTCAATCCGCACAAGAAGTATATCCACCCAGAAAATTCACAGCAACATCTTCTTGCATTGCCTCAATTCTTTCTTCCAAGACTTTTCTCCAAGCAACTATTCATCTCTGGTTGTCCAAATTCTGTGACATTCACAATGACAATGTAAAGTACTCAGCAATCTTGGCAATCGCATCTTTACTACAATCGTCCAACGTTGTATATAAATCTCTTGGCCTTTTCCGAATACGATATGCGATGGACCATTTCAGATGAGCTATAGAAACACGTGAAATGAATGAGGTGGGCTCGTATCAAAATTTCACACCCATAAATTAGCTTGGTATCACAGTGGATTTCTGGCTTTAACTTTTAACCTTAAATTCTTTTAACCTTATTTTAGGCACAAATTATAAATGTAAAATTATAGAAATTATGCTTCGAATACGCAATTCTGACAATCCCAGATATATGTTTGTGGTTAAAACTCAAAATCGTTGGAACACAGGGTTACACCTGTGCTGAATGGGCGGTTCGTCCAAAGCACCGACTATAGTTAGAAAAAAGCAATTGTGTCCTCGGAGAAGCTGAAACATCATAAACTCCGCATTAAATACTTTGGATTTTCAATGAACCAGTATCTCAATTCGAAACAGTAGTATGCGGAGTAGAACTCAAGCAATCAAGATACAAACCACCCATCACAAACATACAGAGAAACAACCTTCACTTCTTCTCCAACATCACTAAAAGCAGTCCGGAATGCGGACATTCTTCAATCCCTCCAGGTACTGATCGACAGGAAACACCACATTATAAATCCACAAAAAACAACCCCATAAATTTGTTAATTATTGAATCGGTTCACTACCCATTTCTAAAGCTTCCGCATGACAAAACTCATATCTTTATCTTCACACCCGAACCTAAATATATTAATCAAACCATCCCACCAATGTTCGAATATTCGCTTAAGCACAGCCTGCCCCCTCTCCTTCCTCGACAGATCATAATCTTCGGCAAACCAGTACTGGTACCGGTAAATTACCGACTGCTTGTTTCTCCACGAAAACATCGTGCCTGCCAAGATCATGCTTAACTGTGATCCACCGTTTAGCTCATCTTTGTCTGGGTCCCATTGATTCTTTCGCTACTTGATTGCCCGGATTTCGAGAGCTTTCATGAATGTTAATTCCGAACAATTGAATAGATTCTAAGTAATCTTGGCCCACTAAACAAAAATTCTGCTGACAGACTCAAGGCATTATCATCGGTGTTGAATACTCACGCCATAATCTTTCTCGAACGAGATATTTCTCGGACTATGTATAAGAATTTCTTGGGACTGCCTTCTCTCCTACGCTGGAAGATGATACGAGTAATGACAATACACTTTCACTTCAAGTAAAATCCTCATGAAGGTGGGATTGAAAGCCAAGTATGAATAGCACTAGGTAGTCATGGATATATAATTGTATATCGTATTGCTGTGGTTGTCAAGCTATCAAAAGATCTTTGGCTAGTCGATGGAAAAGTGAATGAAACTATTCCCATCTCAGATGAACAAAAACCACAATTCTAAGAAGGTAAGAAAAGGAAACTCTCTCTCGATACCTCTTCCCTGAGAATCACAGAATCAGACGTTCCAGATCTGATTCCCAACCCTGACGACAAAACTAACTTTGAAATTGAACAAGATGGCTAACTATCCAAGGTGATTTTGCAAAGTTCTAGCCATATTACAAATCTTCATGTTTTCAAGCCACTTGATTTCCAATTCCCATCAGTCTAGAGGGCAGAAATATTCCGTTAAGCATCTGTCCCCTTTCTATTCTCCCCCCTTTCTCTTCTCTTCCTTTCATATTCATTTTTCTTCACTTGAAATTGTGCTGCTACTTCCTTCAAATTCATTTCCATCGCCTTCGTCGTCATGGTTTTGCATTCAACAATGGGCATCTCAAAAGGAGATACACCGCCGTTTGCAGCAGCTTCTTGCTGTCTTACAGTATTCATTCCAACTTTGAATGTTTGCTAAGCTTGGTCCTAGCTTGATACTATGAGAACAATATCGATTGCGGAAGGATTATTGTTTTCGTTGTAGTGTCCTCTCGATTATGGGATCGTATGGACTCTCACGTACGGCCAATGATACGACAGTGTTTTGTAAGTCGATAAGCGTGAGATTATCATAGACAGTCAAGGGATGGCGCCTAATGATGAGGATAACATTAGTAATACTACCACGAACTAGCATTTAGTACAACGAATCTCTAAACGCGAAGTCACGCATGGAAAAATTCCTGATATGATGAGGGAATCCATGTGTTTCTACTGAATAACTGAAAATAGCAAGATGTTTGACTTTCTGAAAATCAGAAGACCAGCTCACACTATTCATGTCTACTTGTGAACGTTTTGCGATTGGTCCACCATCGAAGTAAAGAGTATCAATATCGAAATCAAACCATATCTGAGAAATCAATCCAACACTCCCATCAAAGATCTGCTTGTACTCTTCCATTACCACCATATATGCTTCGCAAAATACATATGCCATGTGAATGGTACTAGGTGCTTCGTCTCTAAAACTTATTTTCCCATTTGTAGTTGGAGTAATCGACGTCCTAGATGAACGATGCGTGGTCCCGGTAGATCTTCTTTCCAAACAAAGTATCTCAATTGCTCTAGCAATTGAAAAAAAGACAAAAAAACGAATATTAAGTTCTTTTCCGGTGAGATGATAGCCCGAGACTCGTTTGAGAAAAGATATTTCCATATCATGCCAAAGCAACACGCTGGACAGTATACTGAGGGAAGTACACTCGGTATCGCAATGAATGCAGTACTTGAGTCAACTGAGGTTCCATATCGACCAGGTCCAGTACCCACTGAACAAAGGTCATGTGCATAAGCCATTGTTCCAAAGTAATTCATGATAGCTAAAAGACATAGCTGTGTTGAATCTTGAGAATGATATTTTCTGTCTGAAGGGAAAAATAGATACAAGCCGGGAGAAAATTAGAGGATAGATCTTGAATGAGGGTATGGCTACTTATTAGTAGGCTACAACGCCAAAAAAACAAAAAAAACAAAAAAAAAACTCAACATCATCTCTTCGAGAGGCAATTAGTAGAATTCCAACTATGTGAATAACCAGCATGCTATGCGATGAATGGATAATTGTTCCGAAATCATATGAGTTGGACTCTCGAGGTATGGAGAGTGGGAGTGTGTCTAGGTAGTTAAAAAGAGTTTCATTATTAAACGAAAATTGACGGCATTCTTTCTTCATGAAGGTTTGACGTTCTGAAGAATGATAAGAGGATAATAATTAAATAATGCATAACAAACATCAATTAAGTAGTATCATTCTACCACGCCAAAGTTTAGCCAAGCCGCAGCATACATCATGACCCCTAAAAACCAGTCAGCCAATAACGGAATATCGAGTCCACCTCTTCATTCCCCTCTTTCCATAATAACAAACCTCCACCTCTCGAGAAACATCAATCATACAATCTTATATATCTTCAAGTTCCTTCGACTAATCGTTCCCAGATAAGTAATGACCTCCCAGTTTCGTTCTTTCGAGCTTGATTTATACATCTAGCTCTTTCTACGAAAGCAAAATTTCTGAAACTCATACCTATACGCTTGCCACGTTATTCTCTTTGAAAACAAACGTGAAGAAAGAACACTGATGCATCGCCAACACAAAAATACCACCTCGATAATCTGGTGCTGCAGGTGATCAACTAATCAATAACAAAAGCCACTCATTTCTCAACCACAATCATATGATCAAGTCCAAAAGCAGGATTTCCTTTCTATATATATAACACGTACAAAAAAGCATTCAGTCCGTATATCTAGAAAAGGGGAATATAAGAAGATAAAGTGATTATACATACGAGGTTCTCTGTATCCAAAATACTAATTATCGATAATAGAGCTATGACGACATGACTTGTGTAAAGAGATGAAATTCGATGTAGCCAAGACAGAGTGTGAATGGAAAAGAAGAGTGAAAAATGGGGGTTGGGATGATGGATAATTTGTATTTTGTGTGATAGTAATTGACTTTTATGGAAGATGAAATTATTTGAGAGAATGAAATAGGATAGAGGATTGAAATATCATCGTAATGGTGTTCTATCTCTTGACATAGATTTTAAGTGCTGGATATAATTCCGAGTTATTGGTACTGGTGAGTGATGTCTTTATTACTCGAAAAAGAGGTCTGTTGGCACTTGCTATTAGATCTAATAATGTTGTAGAATCTGTAAAGGGGGTTATCGTATAGGAATAAAGAAGGGAAGAGACTATGGCGAGCTTTCCTATGAGGAGGGCGGGGCATGCTGGAAGTCGTTCCGGACAACCTTAGAACTGATCGGTATCGGTTAAGTACCTAGTGGGCTTGATATCTTATCGACTCGGGAATCAGAGTAAGAATCTTCGATAACTGTATCAAACTTTTGAATTCGTTTGCTTAATTCGACTTTCTAAATTTATATCCTTCCATCATTCCTCCTAATATCCGTTCCCCTCCTCCTATCTCTCTTTTTCCTCTCTCTTTCCTCACTCCCCTATCACCACTCCCACCCCTACTCTTACTCACCCCCCCCGCACAATCACCCCCCTCCACCCCCTCCAGCCCAAACGTAACCATAAAACTCGACCCCCTACTCACCGCCCCCAAACACACCCTCTCCCTCGCCACACTAATCCCAACTCTCCAAAACCCCCCGCCGGCCCCAACATCTCCTTCATCTCATTCAGCGCCGAACGCATCAATAATCAACTTCCATCTATTTCGTTCCTGAGTGCCCTTCTCTGTACTCAGACATTCGCTTCGTTGACGCGATAGTTCGATGATTTGTTCTTTTTGTTGTTTGTAGTTTTCATCAGGCGATGTCGATGCGTCACCACCATTTAGCAGTTGAGCATTCGATGAGTGAGAAAACTCAAAATCATGACTCCAATCTACATCAAGCATGAACTTGTAAATCTCCCTCGTCCTTCTTCCCACGCTTCTCAACACTCCTCGAACATCATAATCTCCTCGGAGCTCCCCCAAAAACGGAATTATCGTATCCATCACCCATTGAGATACTTGTGAAAGCAACCAGGAAAATATCACTTCCAGCACGAGAAGCTTTGCAAACCTGTAAATAGGAGATTCGTCGCCGGTGCTAAAAGCCCAGTAGTGAAGGTTGTAGATTGTAGAACGCCATTCGAGATAAGTGTGTGTGGTTTCGGGGGTGGAGAGGAGGGATACGAAAGTATTTAGGAGAGATATCAAAAGGGTATTGAGGAGAGAATGAAGGAGCCAGAAGAGTGTAATGAGGAGGTATGATTCGCTGGGAGAAGGTGCTTGGATTTCTGATGTGGTATTTTCGCAATGTGAGGAGCGTGAGGGTCGGAGGGATTTTTCACTTCGATGTCGAGATCGCTTTTGAGGTTGCTGTTGATACAACACTTTGAAAAGGAAATATTGAATCCCAATCATCCAGAACCAGGCAAATAAATTTTCGATTAGAAAACTCGTGAAGGCAAGATTGAGAGGTATAGATGACATGACTTCGCTTTGGTGTTCGAGATCAAGACCCTGTAGTTCTCTGAGCGAAGAGTCGTCCATCGTCGATAGAATATCTAGGTGATTCGTGGGCTCGAGATGAGATGAATTCAAATACCTAGGTATGTATATAAGAATATGAGAACCCAATGCTCCAAGTAAAGTATGTTGAACGCTCAAAGAAAGACAATGATGAATAAATAAATAAATAAATAAATAGTTAAATCCAATCTCTGCAAAGAAAAAACAAAAAAATCAAAAGACAAACCTCATGATATTTCTATAAAACAAAAATACCTTTGATGTTACATTCCCTGCCATCTACCAATATAAAATTCAAACCCTTATCACCAACCCACCCATCCATACCTACCGGTACATATAAATACATCAAAGCCAAGCCTCAATTAAACTCAACACATCCCCTTCCCCTTAACACAAAACCACGCAGCGCAGCGCAGCGCAGCGTAACGCACTGTTGAACGACCCCTCCAAAGCCATTCATAAATTTGACCGGCAATCAAACACGTTCAGCTCAGCCCTAACTAACAGCACGCTAGTCCAAAAACATACCTCCAATCCATCAAATACGCTTTACGTATACACCCATTCTAATACGACGTATCGAATACGCTGCATTGTCGCACTCCATGAGTGTCTCCATAATTCTTTACGAACAAGCGAATGATGATCCAGAGAATACGAAGACTGGCACTATTGTTGTGCACGTGGTTTGTGCTTCAGGGGTTCGATCGAAAAGTGCGAGGTATGCGAGATATGCTATGCGAGCTGCGAAATGGTACCTCGATGCGGTGGGAGAGCGAGAACGAGAGCGAGAACGAGAAGTGAGGAATGAGAATTGAGGATTGAGATGGAAGGGTAATCTGTTTATTTATCTATTTCACTTGTTTGAGGATTCACTATTTTGGTACTTTGTTACTGTAGAGTCTGTTCGCTACGAGAAGTGTTGGATTCACGATATCGCAATGTTAAATAAACTTTATACGTAGGTAACCTTAACAGAAAGTCGAGGGATACTCCATCTATTTATCCGTATATGCTATATTACTTCACCTAGAATAGTATACAACACCTCCCCCCTCCGAAAGGATATCGCAAACAAAATCCCTCATCCAATATTTCCGATCCCATTAGTCTTCCTCGAATTCGGCGTTCATTGCAGAGGTAAAAACTTAATCACATCACATCACATCACATCACGCGCCAAATCTTCTGCATAAAGAGGCTGAGACGGTTGACTTGTTATAACCTGTCATACCCATTTCACTTATCATACCTCTCACCCAGTCATTCAACCTCATGAATTTGAGAATTGTTGAGCAGGATTCGATAATAAAAGACTTGGGAAGAAATTGCCTAATCAAATGTCGACGTACATACACCACCATGAATGAACCCATAACCCATAAGTCTTTCGAGAATCACGAACAGGAAAAAAGGACATCTAATCCTCCGCTTACTCACAAGCAGAGATTCTCATTCAAGGGCGCAATCTTATGGTCTAGACTGATCTAGAGAAATAGAGGTAAGAATACTAGGTAATTAGTCGGAATTCCATTCATACATTTTTACTCGATCTGAAAAGTTCAGGACGATAGAAATAGCGAGGTATATTGTGATCTAGCTATTCGTAGTTTTCCTTAGGCATCCAGCTCGAAACGTAGTATCGAGGGTATATACAAGCTGGCGTGGGTCCTCCTCGTCTTCCCCATCCATTTTGACTTTACCTCCAATTCAGTCCCTGTTCCTCACACACGACTAACATCCGGTAATGGCTTCTCCTTAATATCCTTAATCAACGATCTCGAATTCGGATTATCCTCAAAACTCAACTCAATCAAATCTCGCACCTCATCTTTCGAAAAGTACAAACAAAGATGACTTTCAAACCAAAGATATCTGATATCCTTCAAATTACTCTGGAGAACTTCACTCAGGAATTGCATTTTTAGCCAATTCCCTGCAATAGTTCCAATTTCATTTTCTTTGAATAAAGATTCTAGAGCCTCAACTTGTTGAATTAGCGCTGCTATTCTTTCAGCGTCATCCACTCCTAAATCTGTGAGTTCAAAAATATCGGTGATAATTTTAGTAGCTTCCGTATTGACCAATGTGCCAACGGCCGATGCCCAAGTTGAAGATGGAAGTATTTCTTTCCAAGAGGCAGATTGTTGATTGATATGACCGATAACAGCACGAATTGCGTTCTCGCTGTCGTTGTATACAAAATTTTGAGAACCTAAGTAATGTTAACAATTGCACAAAGTAGTATCTATGTATACATACCACCAAGTAAATCGTGTAAGATTGTCCTCTGTGTATCCATCTCGTTTTTATAAGCTCTCTTTCCAAAACTTTCAAGAGGTCCAATCTCTGAATCAATATTGACGAGATTCAAAGCTCGGGGGGGTATGTCTTTTCGTAGATGCCATTCTTCCGAGAAACTTTTCAATTTATCAACCAACCATGTAGCATCGTTGTAAGCAAACCTAGATAACATCAGTGAGATTGTAATATGGAGAGTGCAACACCAAACTCAGGACTTACATATTTCCTTTCGGATCGTCGACATAGTAACATGGAGATACCGCACGATACATTGCTAAAATCAAGGTAGGAATCTTGGACAAAGCACCAGCTGCAGGTGATACAGGAAGAGAGTCGCATCTGTGCAATGCTGATGAGTGATCTGCAGGAATTTGACTTGGGTTAAAGGTGACATGTACGTACTCTGGCTGCATCAATTTGGCGCCATCTTCATAGATAGTGACAACGTGGTTAAATATTGTCAAAGGAATAGAAGATGTCCAATACTTTTCTGAGAGAGTGACGTTTCGCATCTCTGCTGGATCATGTAACGTGGTAGGACTAGTAGGAACAAGAGGAGTCCTTAGGGTCCTCTGTGTGTCGGGGAGTTCATCGATAGGCGTTTCGACAGCAACTTCATTATCATCACCCCAACCCCATGCATCATCTTCATCTACTTGAAGAATGTTTGGATCAGGAGCAATGGACAGTGAGCTTGCCCTTCGTTCCTCGTCAAAAGAAGCTCGGCTTCTTGTTATAGGTTGAGTTTCTTCCTCTTCGTCCTCTTCACCCCAGCCCCACTCATCTTTCACAGTCTCACCATTTGAAGTGACATGCATACCGTCTTCCCTGGTCACCATACGCATTTCCACTCGTTTAGCTTCAAGAGGTTGGCCAACGCCTAACATTAGAAGTCATTAGTATCAATACATAGAAGATAAACGTAGGACCTATATGGGGAGATGAAGAGGTGAAGTGAGGTGAACATACCAAGGGCTAAAGCATTACGAACTCGGTCCAGTGATGTTTCTCGCTTCTTAGTCAACCAAATTCTTGCAGCACTAGCAACCCATTCATGGAATCTCTCTGCTCCTGGCCATCCTAATGCTCCCAAATTATCGGCAAATTCACCTGTACGACCTAACGCCTTTTGGTAATCGACCATATCGTCTAAGGATGTTGGTACAGATGACTCTAGCCATGTGCCGATTATTATTTCAGTTAGATCAGGCATCATAGCCTTAGATAAGGCTTCGACCATTGTCTTGGGCAAGTTCTCGTCCAAAAAGCGAATGATGTCTAAGATATCCTTGAACAAAGATTTTATGCTAGTATCTGCACGATCTTCGGTAATACGCAAAGTGTTATTCTCAATACATATTTGGAAAACAGCAGGTGATAATTCCAGGCCAGTACGAGGTCGTATAATTGTTTCAGACAATTGCTCCCATAAATTTTTGCCAAACTCGTCAAGCTCTTGAAATCTCTCCAACCCAATTGCAACATCATCTAAAGATGTTGAAATACCGTCGATTTTCTTGTGGATCGTAAATGAAGCTTCTTTGGGTTGAATATATATCAATGATTTCCGGATCTCACTGAGCTGATCATTCAAAGAATCCTTCAACTCATAATATCGTGTATCCAGGAGCCGGACCGCTCTTACAGTAGTTTCCGCTGGAATATCCGCAATTTGATGACCGGCAACATCGAGTGACTTTAAAGCTTCATGTATTTCTTGTCTGTCCGCCTGTTCCACAGCTTTGTCCAGGGAATCGTTCGCGCGCTTTATGGATTGTGCACATTCCAGTAAGTGTGCATTAAACTCAATCTCTTTCACTAAAAGTTCCACATGATTTTCATGATTGTCTACATCGGTAACTCGAGATTCGTCCGCTTCTGCTTGTTGAACGACTTCATTCGCCAATTTCCTTGACTTGTCGATATCGTCCTGGAGGGCCTGGGCATGTTGTATCCATTTATCGATATCAGCAGCGGAATCTCTACTGATTTGACGAACTTCAGTCTGTATGAGACATGGTCAGTAAAAAGAATAGTGGTAGATAGTGAGTAACAATGCTGGGAATTTTTGAAGACACACCTCGAGAGATAATTTAGCCTCACCCAAAGCTTCTATAGCTAGTGGAAGAGCGTCATTCCCAAGCGCAGATGCAGAGACTTCCTCATCAGGAAATTCACCATTTGATGCAAAACCAATGAGAGTTTTACTAAGTTGATCAACTCCTAATGTCGACACCATGTTGTCAAAGTCTTTGGAGATTGAATTTCAATTGCTGGCAATCTCAACGTGTCGGATATTTCAACCAGCACAGAGCCGTTCTTTCGAGTAAGTTTCTAAGACGACGAAGACTTGAGGGTGTGAAACTCATGTAGGTACCTGGTAGTTATCTGAACATCACTATTATTTTTCTTAGAACATGGTCAATGAGATTATGACAAGGTGGAACCAGAAGCTATGGCATAATCATCCGATGACTAAGAATTAAGCTATCAAGCGCGCGGTTAAGCTGATGCGGTAAGGGTGGGTTATCACCCAATGATAATTATCTAGGGCGTCTATTCATTCCTTCGTTGTAAGGCTATTAACTTTATATTTTATTTATATTGTTCATCGTTCAATCTAGTCATCTCCGTACCTTTTCACCAATATCTCGGCCTTCCTCTGTTTTGCAAAGAAAATCATAAGTTTCAACGACACATTTAAATAAGAGGCG